CTTGGTAGAAACAGGAACAGGACCCTGACCACCTCTTGTCCACCATAAACCCTTCATGGTCAGTCACGTTAAGGAGTCTGAGGGAGTCGTCTTGGCCTACTGGCACGATCAGAGGGTCTCGAAGCATGGGGGGTTGGGGTGGAGGGTCATGCAGAGGATGACAACACCTGCTGTGAGGATCCAGCGTCTGGCGTCCAGCAGTATCCAATTTGTTATAAATATTCGCATACAGGCATGGACACACTTGGCACTTGTGTATTGTTGGTATTCGAGGGCCATTAGTGACTCTCAGTATAATGGGTACTCAAAATCATTAACCAGAGAGAGAGAGAGAGAGAGAGAGAGAGAGAGAGAGTAGCATGATGAACTGAGCTGACCTGCACAAACCTCTCTCAGGTCTTGTCACCGCAGTCCTGGCTTGAGTTCACTAGGCTGCCAGGTCACATTAGATTCAAAGAACACTTATCAGCTTCATTACTGGCTATAAATTTCCTCAAGAATTTTAGCCAGCTCAACAAAAGCATTCCCATGATCCAAGAAAAAAATTAAGACAAACTGCGACGCCCTCTGGGCCATCATCAATACTCTCGTCCCCCTTGACATGCAACAGAGCCTGGCCATTAGAGGCCATAATGAGGAGGCAGATAATTTTAAAGCTCCTTAGATCAAAAAGTCAGCCATAACCTTGATGTTGCTGAGCACTTTGCCAAAGCTCTTCTCAATGCCCAATACACCAGAATCTGCACCTAAAATAAACTGCTAGACAGTACAGGGTGACCCATAGTCTTCCTTTCGCTTAATCATGATGATGATGATAATGATAGTAATAATGATGATATTCATGATGATAATAATGGTATTACCATGATAACAAAATTAATTATAATAACTATGTGTGTGTGTGTGTATGTGTGTGTTTTCACAACTCCATGTTTTAAAAGAATAGGGTCATAAAGAAGTATATAATATTTTGTAATATTATTTTCGTGTATTATTATATAAATAACTAAACAAAAGACACTCACTTGCAGTGGCGGCTCGTGCATAGGGCTGCAGTCCCCCCCAGCCACTCACTGCCAGGCGTATGATTCCTTTAGAGAGACAGCTGAATAATACACTACCAACAAATATATCATTTTATATGTTATTTAATTATTTTCAATACGTTGCTAAGTGAATTTTCATTAAAATCAGACCAAAATTTAAGTTACTTTCATAGTTGCTGTCAATGCTGTACGATTCATGTCTGTTATTAATTGGCGCCGCTCAGTCTCGTGTTTACATTGCGTGTGGACGGTGTGGTTAACTCTTGCTTTCTTTAATTACCCTTTGACGATGATAACAGAAATAAAGGATTTTAATGAAATAGTAATAAATAATTTTGCTACATCGAAGAGCAGACACGCCGACTTTATTTTCAATTAATACTGGTCCATCACCACCAACACTACTACCATGCCCTGGGAATTCGTGGACATCATCTACAACTCATACCTGAGGTAGGTCAAATTTGTGTATCCTACTGTTGTGTGAGGCCTGCAGTCCCTCCATTTTATTTTTCACGAGCCGCCACTGCTCACTTGATAGTCTAAACACCTAGTTTATAACCCCCGCCCAGATTCTGGCCTCGAACACTGAATCAATTCCCCCAATGTTTTTAAGTGTAGTAATAGTACGTAATTATGCTTTATTAACTTCAATGGTTGACTATATATTATTACTAGGGCTATTTCCTCGTTGGTGGTTCAGTAATAGTGTTTAAATCTTCGTTAGTAGACTGGAATTCGGATGTTGATGGTTCTGTATGAACGAGTCGGGACCTTATTCACTTGTTTCGAAACCTCTCAAGTGAACTTATGACAGAGGTGGTGTTGGAAATGACAGTACCAAGTAATATTCCATGGACAGTACACAGCCATCCACCTGTCTTTGTGTACAGTTGGCCAGAAAAGTCCGGTAATCTTTTCGTGCCTTCCCAAAACGAAGCTGTTCCGGGTCCCGACCCTTATATCATTATACCGCCATCTGTGGTTCAGTTCAGACTCCATCTCCAGATTATGGACGTTTGTTATGAGTCCTTTAACTTTTCTCTCTGTGTGTTGCTGAGTTCATGATCTACCAGTGTGTTGCTGACCAGTGATTAGTGAAAGGCCTTCAGAAAACTGCCAAGGCAAATTTTTCGGTGTGATTGTTGTGAACTCTTAGAACAATCGGTATATTTTTACAAGCTGACAACCATGGCTACACCTATACCGGATTTTTGGTTGAGCAAAACCTTACCTAAAATTAGTTTGACTGGTAAGGAAAAATTCATGAGGATCGTTGGTTGTCTACTTGTAAAACAAATACCGAATGATCTGCTAGTGTTGTGACGGCACCGAGTGTGAGCTCCTTCAAGACCAAACTTGACCAACACTGATACAGGTGGAGCCAGTACATGCCCAGTATTTGTCAACAGTATGTAACAGAGACATTACTGCCCGCCCAAGAGGTGCTGCCCTTATACATGTACCTTGTGGTCTACTCTGAAGTGGTATAGAAGACGTATTTGTTTTTATAAGCATTTTAATAAAAATAAATTTCTTAGAAAGTTTATAAGATGAAGGAAATGATAAGGTGGGTGGAGGAATAGGTGGTGTGAAGGGGAGGGAGCAGGAGGAATTTGATGTATAATCCAGTTTGACTGTTCTTAATTATTATGGGGTGATAGGGTATTACTGTATTTCAATTTCGCACAACCATAGAGTCCTGGATTTATAACACCTGTAATGGATATATCTCATTATTCTGAGTAATTTTTATTGTATACACTATCATCGTAAATTAATAATAATGTCGTTATTTAATTTTTTAAGTCCTAGACAATATTTATCATAAAACTGCCAAGAAAATTTACCGGGCTTTGAAGAAGAGGGAAAATGTAGGGGTTGAGACTTATGTTTTTGGAGTAGGCTGGAGTCTTCTCTTTTATAGGTATCCTTATTCTTGTCCTTTCCTTTTGGGCCGATTATCCTTCTGGTTGTTTTCTTTTTCCTTCATTTTGATTTTAGTTCATTTTTTCAGCATTAATTTTCTCCGGCGCCATATAACCGTGGCTAATAAGACCATATTCCTGCTCAATCAATCCTCAACCTTTACAAAAATATTTATAAGGGTAAATTGAGGTGGAAAGTTAATCTTATTTTTTTTTATTTTCAGGTACGTGAAAATTAACAGCTCCTCGAGACTAACACACCACATCTCACTCGGACTTCAGGTATGTCCAAGCCAGTTTTATGTATCGGCATGGGCAGATCCAGGAATCAAAAGTGGGGGGGTCCAAGAAATTGTGGGTGGGAGAACATGACGAGCACAGCGAAACCACCCAGCTGTTTTTTTTTTGGGGGGGGGGTGCTCTTAGCCCCTCCCCCCTCCTCGAATTATTTTTTTTTTAAATCTGACCAATATCATGGGATTTTTGAGGCCATGTGCACTTGATCATAGGATATACTCTGAGGTCAATAGTACAGTTACTCCTCAACTTATGACATACTCGACCTACTACCACCCGGACATACGACCGCCTTCGTCGTACCAAAATTTTGTCAAATTATGTTTTTTCGAGTCCCAACGTTAGTGATTGCTCTGTGTACTGACAAAATTTTCATTTGTAATTCACTTAAAAATGGCTGGCAAGCTTAAAAGTGAGAGTTTTGTGGTGCTGAGAAGAAAAAGAGACACCCATTTTATATTTTATATGTATTATTTAAGCATTTTCGACTTACGACCAATTTGACTTACGACCAGGATTTGGGTCCCTAACCCCGTTGTAAGTCGAGGAGCAGCTGTAATTACTTTTACTACACAAAAATGCCTTAGTACAATACTGCATTAAAGAAAAGTATTGGAATTTTCTGATGAAATAGGGGGGGGGGGGATCCGGACACCCCCCCCCTGGATCCGCCCCTGCCTACCTGTGTATACTGCTCCGAGCTCCCGCCTTCTGCGACTCCTGTGTATAAAAATGTGTAAATTTACATTAAAAGACATGAATCAACCTTTTAGTAAAAAACGGGCAGTGAAGCAGTTCCATACCTTCCCGTCGCTAGGTGAGATTTTTTATATTGATATTGAAACAGTTTATTTAGCCAGAAAAACACAGATACAGAATGGATAATAATAGCAATATTAACATGGCTGAGCCAGTTGAGAGCCTGAGCTCTCTTGTAGGCAGCTGATATATACTGTACATTTATCTCAAGGAAGTATTATGAAACATTTAGTATCATCTGGAATAGTACTGTACACCTAACATGGTGGTAATAAGACCATATCAGAATGTTACCACGGTGGAAGATAATACTGTATGTCACTTGGGTCATATTTCAATACTGTATTTGTTTGTTGTATCTTGTGCATAAGAGGCTTTTATTGTGCTTTTCAATTGAAAAATAACTGACTTGCATTTGTTACATGTAAAACATGTTGATACTTCTTTGTCGTCATAATTATCAAAGGCATAATTTACATGTACAGTATTAAGAATGACATTCTTCCCTGAGAACATCAATAACTTGCCATCTCCATCTAGTGTGTGTGTGTGCATGCATGCGTGCGTGTGTGTGAGAGAGAGACAGACATCACCAATGAAAGAGGAAGTGAGGATTCGTTTGTTTCTTCATATTTTTGGCCATTACATTCAGAACGGAATGTTATAGAGGAAATGGTATAACATCCTCATGTAATGGACATTATAACCAAGAATGTTCAGTGGTCAATGGTGTATGCAGTTCAGCATCTCAGCATGGCAGGCATTGCAGGATCTCGTTTAGTTTGGATGCCATTTGGAAGGAGACAGAATTTTTTAGGTGACTGTACAGTCGATCAAAAAACTATGTTCTTACAAAATTGTGTTAGACAATATGACACAAATACCATGAAGGTGTGTTTCACAGCCTTAAATTCTGATTTATATCTTACTGTAAAGTATTCACCATGCAAATAGGACATTAAACTGAAACCCAATTCAAGCTTTATTTGAAATCACATTACAGTAGTTACTTGACTAGGGTTGCCAGATTTTCGAATTCAAAATACAAAACACGTTTCTTTTCTTAATGTTTTTTGTTGGGGGGAGAAAGGTGAACAAATAATTGTTTACTGTACTTGTATTTGGAGAATTTAAAAAAAAAAAAGATACTAAAACAGCTATACGTACGTCATACCCCCGGTACTCAAGTTAAATTTGGCCCTGTACAGTAGACTAACCCCATTGACATTTTGGCAAGGAAACATTTGTTAATAAGGTTATATTTCCACAAAGATGCAGTACAGTATTGGCATGTACTGTACAATTTTGTTCCATAATTATTGAAAGGTCAACACTATACCAGCACAAAAACATAGCTCTCTTTAAGATTGAGGTGCAGGTGCTTCACCATTTGGAGTTCTGTCATCCCATCTGGTCCCCGTGATTTGCTAGACACTCAGTTAATTTGAGAATGTCCAAAGGAAAGCCTCACCCAGGTGCTGCACTCTGGCACCTCAGGTACCCAAAGAGATTAGAAAGCCTGCAGTTGCATAGCTTCACTCTAGACGGGCAAGGGGTGACTTAATGGTTTATTAGCACATAAAAGGGCATTATTCAGTCGAACGTTCATACCTGGAACTAGCGGATGCCCACCCCATAAGAGGTCACTGCCTCAGGTTAGAGAGACCACAAATTCAGAAAATTGCCAGGGCAAACTTTTTTGATATATTGCCAGTGTGTGTTGTGACAGAAGTGAGTGTGAACATATTTAAGACCAAACTTGATCAACACTGGCACAGTTTCCGATACATTCTGAATCCAGTACATGTACTTATACTAACAGCACGTAGCAGAGATGTGACAGACCGTACAAGCAGCTAACAAGCCGCGAAGAGGATAAAGTATAAGTAAAGAACCGAATTCAGACACTATTAGTATAGTCACTCACTAGGCATAGGCCTTTCACTGATGTGGGTACCATATACTGTATGTAATCTTCAGGATTCTGTCCACATTTACTTACATAATTTTCCTTATGATTTTTTAGTTCTGTACCTGTACTCTGTACAGTTGTATCCACAAGCATAATTATTGAAGAGGTCTCACACCCCTCTAATGCCCCCTGCCCTTTGTATCGTCACTGACTGTTCCCCACCCCAGGCCCCCCACACCTGACCTGACAATATATGCAGAAGTTACCGAGTTGTGATTGGCTGACCAAAACAACATCTAATACAGGAGTGGCTGCAGTGGCAAAAGTAGATTTTTTTTTTTTTTTTTTTCAAGTCAATTTACCAGGATCACTCAAATACAGGACAATAGCATCACAACACTGGCGACACACCTCTCTGAGACAGGGCAATGAAATACGGGACAGTCCCGGACTATATATGAGGATGCCTGGCAACCCTATACTTGATTGAATAACATTACAGTAAAGTAACTCAACTGAATAACATAACAGTAAAGTAACTCAACTGAATAACATCACAGTAAAGTAACAACTGAATAACATTAAAGTAACTCAACTGAAAACATTAAAGTAACTCAACTGAAAAACATTACAGTAAAGTAACTCAACTGAATAACATTACAGTAACTCAACTGAAAAACATTAAAGTAACTCAACTGAATAACATTACAGTAAAGTAACAACTGAATAACATTACAGTAAAGTTATATTAATTGAGTAACATTCAAATTTCTTGACTTATTAACTTTACAGTGAAGTTATTTGAATTATTAACAGTAAAGCAACATGATTAAATACCATAAACAATCACTATAAAAATACTGACAGCCTGAGAACATAATATTTCTACAGCAGGTGAATATTAACATAATGAGCGTGGTACCAACAGCTAACAACCTTACCACACCAAAAAAATAAAAAATACATGAAGCATCAAGCAACATTTCACCAAAAAATGAACCTGTAAACCAGCAAATACATCTACACAAACCTTCATCACCTTACCATAGAAACAGAACAAAACACTAACTCATTTTATATTTTTTTCCAAAACATTACTTTCACTGACCACATTAGAAGATTGGACCACATGACAACTAGCTTCACCAGCAGCTTATTTCACCTGATGATTAAATACCTTAATGCTATCGGAGGGGGGGGGGGTGTATGGTTAATGCAAGGTAGGGTAAGTTAGGTTATATTGTATTAGATTATGATAGGTTAGGGTAAGTTAAGTTAGATTGGGTTAGATTATTTTAAGTTTTGTTAAATTATGGTAGGTTATGTTATTGTTATATTAGATTACATTAGCATTATGTAATGTTGGGTTAGTTTTGGGCTGGTTAGGTTAGTTTTGGTTAGATTTGGGTAGGTTAGGTTAGTGTTAGGGTGATTAATCTTGAGGCAAAATAAGCTAGGGGCTAATCTTTAGGTAATAAAGATTTAAAAAGCTTGACCATAGCTATAATGTCTTTTAAATTATGACTAGGAGAAAATAAGGGTTAAGTGTGCACAGGTAAACATGTAATACAGTGGAACCAATTAATTGGCAGTGATATGTCTTTATTTTACTGACTAGGAGAACATTATCTTCAGTTTATGTGAATGAAACAAGAGATACTAACTCCTATGATTAATTCTTTGCATTAAATAATATTACAATACTGTACTGTACTCTCTTCAGTATAAGGGAATTTAGTTCCTATGTAACAAGTGTCTGTTTTGAACACTTGTACAATTCACAGACAATGGTGGGTTTAGTGTTTGATTCCTGCCTGTCTTAACTCTTGTATACAGACATGTCTGGAGCTGTATGTGGTGTGCAGATAAACTTAGTCTAACACATTCTATTTAAGTATACTGTACAGGTATCGGTATATAATATCTAACACAAATGGACTTCCTTCATTCACTAATTAACAGAAAATTATGACTACAACTAATACATCGGTGAATTATTTGTACGTAATCGTATATATTATTCACATGATATAAATATTAACAGCCGTATACAGTACAGTACTGTTATGTTTTCCACTAGTCATTACGTGTTTACCAATAATATAACAATAAAATGTTCTAATATTCAATAGAAAGTATAACATCTATTAATTTGAACAAAAAAACTAAACTGTTAAGTCACCAAATAACATATTTATATCCTATAGTTTAAATGCTTAAAAGTTAACCTCCTACATATACCTGCGTCCTCGTGTCTGGTAGGCGCTGGAAATTGGGAAACGGATAACCTGCTTTCTTTGTGTACTAACCCTCAATGTCACTAAACACCTGTCCTGACCTCCTGTCTCCCTCACCTTCATCCCCAAATTAACCATGTAGACACCTGTTGCTCAAGATTCCCTAATATACTTGTACTACCTAATTCTTTCAATAATTATTAACTTTAACTCCATATCATCATATGAAGACTTTTTATTATAATACTGTACTGTATTACAATTAAGTAATACAGTACAGTACACACATTCATATCAATTTAAGCATAGAATCAGGTTTTTTTTTTTTTTTACACAAATACATCATGCAACAATATGTCCTTAAACAAATACACAACATATGTCACAACCTTAATAATGTATTCCAGATTCCAGTATACAACAAACACTTCTTCAGCACACACATCATTCATGGCTTCTCACTAATGTCAGTGTGTGTGTGCATGTGCATGTGTGTGTGTGTGCATGCGTGCGTGCGCTGCCTTTACTATTTTCTTCCTTCCACTTGTTTGTTCTTCCCCACTCTTACTCCTCCATGGCCTCCATGGCACTCTTACCAAGATGTCCTCAGCTGCTACTCATCACATATCAGCTCTCCTGGACTCTTTAACCCAATACTATACGTTCCTTGTTTTCCTTGTCCCGTGTCCAGACTCCTAAATCACTCTATATATAGGAGTCATTTGCCAACAACACCTCTATGAGATGTTATCCAGAAGAAACCTATAAGCCAAAGAGAAAAAGTAAATAATTTTGGAAGTGGTTAATAGGCTGAAGACTTGAAAGAGAAATTTGTAAAAATAAGTAAAGCCTTCAAAGTTTTTTCTCTTCGTATGGATCTAGTAATTCAAGGTTTGTTTCATCTTTGATTTTCTTCACACACAAATGTACAGTATTGTGATTGTATGATTCTGAAATTATTATGTTTCAGTGTTAAAATTTAGTCTCCACCCTATATACTGGTAGGTACGAGGGAACATTACATACATAGTACTGCTTCATAAAAATACACAATCTTTCGAGTACATTGGTAAGACAATTTGCAAACTAATTTATTATAAAAATATTCAATATCTCATTGAGTGTAATGTTTCTTTCTGACCAAACAACATTTGTTTGGCCCTGTTAAGAATACTCTAAAATAAGCTTATAGTCCAATACAGGCATTGGGTTTCGAAGCAGCTAGTTCAACACAAAGATACACTCAACATTTGCCACTGCAGGTGATAAGACTGTTAATGTCACCCCGTTACAGTAGGCTAGTGGCTACACAGGTGTCATCAAGTTGGGCAAGAAGAGTCTCTCCTTGAATGTGATATCCAGCACCAGATATAGTCTCACAAGTAAACTGAGTATTTTTCACAGAAAGAAAATAACCCCATCACTGAGTGATATCAAATACAATACACATTAAGTACAGTACAATAATTTTTTGGTCCCACATTAGAATCTTGTCTTTATATATTTTTGTCTTTAATTCTTTCCAAAAGAGTTTCGGCTAATTTACGTTCCAGCTCCCTGTAGCGTTTGTCATGGGTGAACCACATGCCAATTGCACATCTGCTGCCATCCAGGACCGGCAACACTCCATGAGGGTTTTCTGGGCCAGAGGTAAAGCCTATCATTCTTCCACATGTTGGTTGCACAATGGCCTGTAATTAAGAAAATAAATAAATAAATGGGTGAATGCCATTTCATGGATGATGAGACAAACAAGTGACCTATAGGTGACAGTCTACTTCTTTACATCAGTTGCAGCTATCGACCCCTCTGCCTTATTTGTGATGGAAACCAATGCATAAGAGTATGCCACTGCTGCTTTTTTAAGTCAATTTGGCCAGCCTGTTGATTTTTTCTCAAGGACTATCTCAGCAACTGAACAGACACACTCATCTGTTGAAAAGGGGGTCTATGCTATAGTTGAAGCATTAAGAAATTGGAGATGATCTGCAGATTCTCCACAATGACTTGTGTCATCCTGGTATCATGAGAATGATGCACTTCGTACACAGTAGGTACTTGCCATGCTCTATCCATGACAAAAAAGACAATGGTTTCCTGCCGTACATGTTTAGAACTGAAGCCACAGTTCTAAAAACCTGAACCTGGAACTCTCATAAAGGCTATTCAACCTTTTGAAAGGTTAAATATAGACTTCAAAGGCCCTCATCCTTCCCAGACAAGCAACTGGTACTTGCTGTCCATTGTTAATGAGTACAGTACTCATGATTTTGATTCACCTTCGCTTGCTCTGGTCTAGCAGCAGTTACTGTTATAAAGTGTCTCTGCTTCTTGTTCTCCATCTTTGGCATGCCCATTTATGTCCCTTCAGATCATGAGGTGTCATTCATTTCGGAGGAACTTAGCAGCTCTTACACATACAAGGAATTGCTATGAGTCGGGCAACTGCCAATAACCCCCAAGTAGAGAGGTATAACAGGATCGTTTGTAAAACTGTGTCTTTAGAACCAAAGTTGAGAAATCTGCCTACTACAAAGTGGGAAGTACAGTACTGTAGTTCTGACAGATGCTATCTACTGCATTCAATCACTTTTATCACTTGCCACTAATACTACCCCCATGAATAGCTGTTTGGTTACCAGCAAAGATCCTCCTGTGGGAGAGCTATACCCCCTTGGTAAACCACCCTGGGTTCTGTGTTCCTTAAACAGCAAGTACATAACAGCAAATACTGTACAAATCTTTCATAGATGCAGTTGAGCTCATTGATGAATATCCAAAATATGTAAACGTTAGACTTCAAGATGTAAAGGAGACTACTGTGTCTCTAGGCCACCTTGCACCAAAATGGGATGAAGCCAATGGACATGAAGAGACCGAAATGTGACCGATTTACAGCATGTTCCTTCACAAAGATTAACTAAAAACCCTATAAAGCCTTCAAGAGTTGAGGTGGCTGAAAATTGGAGAGCATAGACCCCAGGAGAGACCACTCGACCAACCCTACATCATTCAGAGCGCTCTAGGCATCTGCCCTCATATTTGACTTGATTTCTCCTTGTACGTACACTATACTGTAAGTCCTACCCTGTAAAATGATCACGAAAATATTCTTGATATTTGGGTGTAGTTTTTGAGTTCATTATAATTATTTTTGTTTGTTGAGTAATAAGAACAATTGTTCTTTTGTTAGGTACTAGGTACAGTAGTTTATGACACTGAACATCAGCTATACCACAATTAATGTACTCTATATGTTTCAGTTCATTACATTCTTCTGCTTAACTTATTTAAAGGCTGGGAAAAGTGATGTGTACTGTACAGTGAACCCTCACTTTACGCGGTCAATTGAACCCACGGCGGCCCTCGTAAAGCGAGAAACGCGTAAAGTGAACAACATAACATATGGGATTAATTGAAATACAGTAGAGACCGGGCCGACCCCCAAACTCCACTTTTTCCCGACACAATACGTACGTTTTAGTAAAAATAACATCTTAACTTTATGGTGGTATTCACACACGCATAATATAGAAGGGAACAATCAATAAGAGAATAATATACTGTAGGTTAGGTTAGAAAAAAACAAGGTTAGGGTTAACACTTACGTTAGTAGAAGAGATGGGTCGGCGTACGGAAATGGAGGCTGGTTCCGAGGCAGAGGGCAGGCTACTGGCCCTCAGGTGAGTCTTCATCACTGTCATCCACACTTATTAGTGCCTCCCTGACAAATCGCTCAAAGTCACCATCACTGTCTCTGTCACTATCACTGGCTTGGGCTGGCTGTGGTGGGTTGCGGGCGAAGAACTCGGTAATGCTTTGCTGACGGCTGGTGTTGATGTTGTCGTGATACACCTTGATGTAGGGCTCCATAGTCTGCAACAGCTGGGTAGTGAAGACTTCATACCGGTTATCGTCAGGGTCGTCGGAAAGGAGGAGCTTGAGTTTCTCAACACACTCGATGGCACCCCTTACATTACTATGCGATAACTTGCATTCTTCTTTGGATGACGCACCACCTGCCTCTTCACTGACGTCATCATCATCTAGCATCTCGTCGGCAGTCACATCAGAATCCCTTATCACCTCCAGGATGTCGTCGTTGGTGGTCTCGGAGAAGCCTGCAGCTGTAACACTCTGCGCAGCTTCTCTGGCAAGGTCCACTGCTACTGCAACAGTCTGAACCTCACCAGTCACAGATTTACTGTGCCTCCCACCTGGAATACCTTGCAACACATGTCTCCATGCGTGACGAACAGTTGCTACAGACAGCTGATCCCTTGCCTCCACCAAGAAGTCCACAGCTTTCTTGACGTTGAATTTTCTCCAAAATTGTTTCACAAGTACTTTTTGCTCTGCCAACTGTTGTTCCTCGTCGTCTTCGCTCGTGCTATCGGTGTCACCCAGGTTACGCAACTCATCCTTGGTGTTGGTGTAGTTGTTCAGGAGCTTAAATTTCTTTGCAGAGAATGCAGCTTTCACATTACAGATCAATTCTTGGTCCATGGGCTGTATTAATGACGTAGTGTTGGGAGGAAGGAAGACCACTTTTACGTTGGGGTGACGATCCATAAGTAGGGGCGAGTGTCCTGGTGCATTGTCAAGCAGCAACAAAATCTTGAATGGAACATTGTGTTGCTCACAGAATTTCATCACGTCAGGAACGAAACAGTCATCAAACCAGGAGAGGGACAGAGTAGAGAACATCCACGCCTTACGTGCGGTCAGCCAGTGGACATTTAGCTTGGTCATGTCCATGCTCTTGTAGGCGTGCGGCTTGCGTGCTGTGTGGATCACCGATAACTTGAGCTTACAGGTACCGGAGGCATTGGTGGTAAACAGGACGGTGATGCACTCCTTCCGCAACTTCCGGCCCCGACACTTGCTGGCATTCTTCACAACGACGGTCTTGGAAGGTAGCTTTTTCCAAAAAAGACCAGATTCGTCCATGTTAAACACCTGGTCGTCGGTGTACTGTCCTTCCTCCATAATCTCACGTAAAAACTGAGGAAATTCCCTAGCCGCAACACAGTCAGTACTAGCTTCTTCACCACTAATGTTAATGTTGGTAATTTTGTTCCTCTTCTTAAATCTCTGCAACCACCCAGAGTGCATGTGTTCTGGGTATCAAGTTCTATCTACAGGAGCGAACACAAACACCTGTAGTGTTTTCGTAGGTTCTATTTACTGGATAAACAGAGATACACAAGGGAGGTGGCGCTCCTTACTCTGTCTGGGGGGGTCAACTAACCTTTTAGGTGACATGTGGCAAGTGATACATTAGCAGCTTCCATATGTCGCCAGGCACATTAATTAAGCGTGTGGGAAATGGTAAATACATTGCCACATGCTGCTAGCTAGGCTGAATAAATAATGTATATAAATGGAGCACATACATAATATACATACATAATATACATACACAGAGGAAGCATTAAAGGGTTTGGGCTCTGCGATTCCCATCTTACGTGACACTGCAGCATACAGTTCACGTGTGTACTCCTTAACTGAGCGCGTGTCCACTGCCATGTTCCGTCGCACCTCACGAATCAAGTAGCTCACAAGTAATTTCTCCGTCTTGAGAAGCACCTGGTTGTGGCAATACTTGATCATAAAAGCACCTGTAGACTTTGTGATGTTCATGTGCTCCTTTATCTTGGCTGCATCCTTCTTAATTGTCCTGATCGTAGACTCGTTAACACCATGCTTGCGCGCGGGATCAACCTGTCTTGTTCCTTTCTCCAACTCTTGGATGATCTTGTATTTAATTTCGTAGCTTAAGGAACGTCGTATCTTCTTTGGCTTAGGGCGGCTGGGTCCAGGTTTCTTTGTGGTGGTGGTGGTGGTGGTCCAGTGGAAGCCATTCTTATGGAACATTGGATAC